TAATCGCAATGCTCTGCTTGTAATATTTGTTACACCAGTCTCACTGGTTCTATTTTTTAACGGTGTGTTCTTCATAACATCACTCTACCGCATTAGAACAACTATAGTAGAAAACAAACGGTATTTCGTGGGACAATCTCATTCATGGAATGGCCAACAGATTTGCATGGTGTTCAAAATGTCAATCACATTTGGTTTCATGTGGATTTTAGGATTATTAGAAACTTTTATTTCCTCATATGTCTTGTCATTTATTTTCGCAATTGCCAGTGCTTGTCAGGGGCCAGTTATGCTTGCATCGACCGCCTCAAACACCAAAAAAAGAAAAAGAAATTCGACGAAAATTGTACAGTCAAAACTGTAATAATTGAATTGATATAGATTATGTTGCATATAGATTTAAATCGTTACATAAAATAGTGTATGTTCATTTCGTGTATGCACCATTCCAAGATAAATAATAGTAATTTATTATCCTTTAAATAAATAGATGACAGTTAATATTGTCAAAAAAGTATATATTATAATTATGCTACAATTAAGTCAATAGTTATTTGAAAAATAATTCATAAATGCATAACATTTAGGTAACATACGATTGTGTTACTTTTCTTTGTAGTTTATATTGAATGTGAATTTTATGTATGTGTATCATAGAATTTATGTTAAAAAACGAATACAAAAATTTAAAGTGTATTTTGATTTCTCTGATTTTGGTTTGATTGTCTTGAACATGTAATTTCGCGTGTACGGCATGTAATTTATTGTTGCCGGTATTTTATTGTTGTTATTGTGTATATTTATTTTTTCTATTCATTGGGTAAGAGGTTTATAACAATGTTATCGTCATTTTCCAATGATGAGATACTAAGTATATCTAATGTTTAAAGACAAAACATATTTATTACAGTGTATTGTTCTGTTTACTTTGGCAACTCTCAAAATTGTTAATAAATATTATGTAAATGACTGGTTGCATAGCTTTGCCATTTGTGTTTGAGTATGTATCTAAGCCATAATCAGGTCAAAAATTTATGGCCGACAGAGAAAGTTTCGAATGGTGCGAAAATACAGCTGTTGTTAATTGATTTAAAACAACATAATAGTGTCTGTTTACAGGTAAATATATAAATACGATAATGTTTCATGTATACAGAAATGTACCATGTGTGTTAATAAAAGGTTTTACACTGCAGTGACTGTGACGCACACATTTAGTTTTAACTGGGAATTGTGCACATAGATGGATTTAAGGTCCGTGGCTAATGACGGCCAAGTGAATTTCTAATATTTTCTGGATTCTAAGTTTGGCTTTTGATGTAATTTCAATTTATGAATTTGCGGTATGTAATAACAATTTAGATTTTAGCTGTGATTTTCGAATTTATACCTGCGGTGGCGACATTTAGTTTTCAACAATATGTATTTTGAAATGAAAGACGAAAATCAAACTTCTATTTTAAATTTGGGACGTTTCATTTTATTGAATCGATACGGGGCCGTTTCGGTTATTTGCACATTTTTTGTCGAAGGCGGAGCCCAGCAACGCGAATACTACAATGTTAGCAGTCAGCTCTGTTTTGACGCCTACTATTTTAATATTCATATAGATTGACTCGTGCTGGTTTCGTACATGGCGTCATCACATTCTAGAATTAAAGCCATGCTAACCGTCATGTACATGGCATTGCTATTGAAATAAATATCGAAATAATGTTGACATTGAGTATATCAGTGTTCTTGTGTAATAAGGGACTTCTCACGACGAGATCAAATCCCGGAGGGGGTATCACTGGCCTTTCAGTTGAGTAGGGGTGTGGGGTCTGTAAGTAAAACCCCAGACCCTATCATAGACAATTTTCACCTCAAAAACCATACGCCATTATAGACCAAACCGTGATGTTGTATATACCATCCATGTCTAAATTGTCACTAAATTTATTCAGTTATAGGTTGAATCTACTCATCACCAGGACTCATCAATAAAAATACTAAAACTCGGGTAAATACATGGAAATTAAAAAAACAGACCCCACCCCTTCCCATTCTAGACAGGCAATTCTGAAAGAAGAGTGCAACGATTCTGTAATCATCATGATATACACCCTCTAATAATTGGATCGCATTGTAAATTAGGTTGTTTGTGAACAAAATTACAGGACTAAAACTTTGCACGATACAACGCGAACTCCAAAATACTATATCACTTAACATTTTCAAGCACTGAAGTCCGATTTCGAAAAAGCGATAACACTTTTGTATAATGACAGTGAACAAAGTTTCAACAAAAGGTGTAACTGGAATATAGCCATGTGACGAACAAATGACCGGTTGATTAATGGGCGATTAAATCGCCACGCGGGAACGCGACATTGTATTCGTTACTTGTTATGCAGACAATTACACACGCCGGCTCAAAATATAAAACGTACCAGAAAATAAACTCAGACGTCCCCAATCTTATTCTGTCTCTTATTTTCCCAGACAAACAACTAATTTTCGTTACATACAGACAATGAAAAATGTCACTCTTTTACATTACTGTTACTGTTACTGTTCATCATGTAGACGAAGCGTGGGAAAATAACTGACTGGGCCCGAGACATTATCCCCTAGCGCGTCAATGAAATGAAAAGCCCTAAATTGAAAATAGGATTTTGATTTTCATTGTTCATTTCAAAATCCTATTTTTGAAATGGCGACATTACCACTACAAGCATTACTTTGAAAACTACAGCTAAACTTTAAATTGTGATTTCTTGCAATTCATCAGTTGAAATTACGGCAAAACCAAAATGTTAGATTCCAGAAAAAAATTGAAATTCACATGTCGTCATTAGCCACGTACCATCTAAGCAGTTGTGTTTTGGGCATTGCATTGTGTCTGGAACTGATGTGAAACAAAGTGGAGTGAAGACTGATGCGCCCATACATAGGTAGAACAACACTGATTGATATTATTGATTTTCCTAGAAAATCATGTTAAAGTGGATGCAACAAAACACTAATGTATAAATTATTATATTATTCTCTTTACAGAAGACCATATCTTTGTATTAGTTAGGTAACACAATTTTAAAACGTAGCTCTCTTAGTCGGATAATTGCACCCCATGCATTAGTGTTCATAGCACTAGTTAATTATGTAGACAAATGACGAAACATATGTTCATATTCGGTTTAGCACATAACGTCACTGCGATATGTAACACGATGTTACAGAAAACATTTAACTACCAAGTCGTTGTGTGATAGATATAGATGATAGACTTGTAGGAATATAACACGACAAACTGCTACTAGAATAAGGAGATTTAATTCCATGAACTCTCTATACAATACAATCTTCAATGTGAAAGATTAAGCATCAAGTCTTGCAAAGATTATTGCAATCACAACAGATACTCATAAAAATGTATAACTACCGTAATAAAGGTGAATATTATGCATGAGAGCATAAAGGAAAAAGTTGAAAGTACATGCAATTAATGATAAAGGCTAATAATAATATCGCAGTGTACCATGGGTATACGCGTTTGGTCTAATATAACAAGCAGTGCATATCGTGACGTATTCTGGTAATATTCGCCTTTGTCTTGATCAATAATTTTCTCTGGGTTATTTATGTAAGTAGTCATGCGGAAATACATGAATACCATAAATGGACGTTCACGGGTGTTCGTAAGTTATAACAGTCACTTGTAGAAAAAACGAACATTTCATAAGCAGGACGATAGTCTATCTGCACGTGACTGTATTTTAACCAGATAATCAAAATATCAGTCATATGTGTTCTACACAAATTCATTTGATTATGATAATACGACATGATAGTAGCTACTCAAATCAAACATATACAATTTCGGAGCAATTATAATATCGCAAAGCGTGAGCAGGAAGATTCCCGAGTGTTTAGAGTGGAGGTAGAAACTCTGTGTACAGAAACAATGGAATTAATTAATAATAAATTAATTAGTTTTTCATCATTTACCTTTAAATTTTTAATATACAATGTAGATTGTGTTTGTATTCATTTTTACCATATATGTATGGTAACTTTTTTATAAATATATTTTTCCTGTAAAATGAATTTGTCAAAATTTACTTTCTGCGACATTGTTTTTCAAAATCCACGACCACCCAGCCCCCATGTAAGAAAACATGTATGGAAATATACAATAACGATGTGTATTCTACTGAACAAATAACTTAAAAGCGCCACAGTAGTCGTGTTGCCTCCAATTCCAATTATACCATGTTGTGTATAGACAATGCATATTAACACGCGCGGTATGAAGACCATATTGGACACGACATTATTAGCTGGTTAAGCTAGTATAATGTAACCAATAGCAACCATTAACAAAACAGACCAGTACTGAGGCATGACGGTACACGATGCCCGACTTTCCACTACCTCCTGCAGCGTTAGACTGAATCTTACTTTTGATATTCTAAACGGTGAAGACGAGCTTAATTTCGTGGTGGCGTTGGTAGTCATCACGTCCCAAATATCGTTAGTTGAATAATACTCGAAATTGACAGCGTCTTTCTTATCTGGCAGCCATAATTTCAAGCTGTCACGTGGGTATCTGTTATTCGCATATGTAATGGAGCAGATATATACGCCGTTGGTGGTGCTGTTCTTTTTCGTGCACGGGGTTTTGGTAAACGTTGGTTCTGTTAAGAGTATTATTTTGCCGTTCTCCATAATTACCATTCCACTGTGTATATCGGTTGGTGTAACATTCACAGGCACTTTAATATGCATGCTGTAATGAAATAAATAGTTATCCTTTAAAATAACATTTATAGAGTGCAAATATATTACTAAAATTTGTAGTCCTGGTAATGTTTTTGAGTCGGAGCTGCGCGAACACAACTATGTGCAGTAGAAATTACAAATATGCAAATTAATCTGTTAATTGCACCCTGCCGTCTCATGGAAGTAACCGTCCATTAGGTAAACATATTGTGGATAACCTATTTTTAGCATATTTTAATATTTCTGTTTGATATTGTATTTTGATAGAAATAGTGAAGTATGGTTGGCAACACACATATTAGTATTCGTTCAGTCCATGAAACAATGTAAAACGCAATTGCGAATGTGTTCCATTTACGTATACGTACAGGTAATTTGAAGGCATGCGCACTAGAGATCATTATTGCATTGAACGAATGTTTCTATGTATACAATATGTTGATAACTCTTGCCTTATTATCCTGGCTTTAATAGTGTACATATGTAATGTTAAAAATTATCCGTATTCATCTTCAAACATTTTGGAAATGACATTCAGCCGCGTTTTCATAGTGTCAATGAAGCTGAATTTAAATGAAATTATTTATGTTTATTGTTGTATCTTACCCTTCCAGTAGCTGTTCGTATGTCGCAATATTCCAGACAGATTCCGGGGATAACGTAATATTCCCAACAGCGTTGGCATCGTTGTCATCCCAAACCAATCTATTATCTACCCATTCCTACATTATATGCAAAGGTTAGAGGTTAAAGGTGTTGGAGTATACAGTGTGGGTGCTTGCCATTACAGGGGATCAACTTTGATATGTTGTATTCTAACAATCAGAAATTGACAATTAAACATTCTTTGTGTAACATTTCTATAAACTTAGCAAATTTAGGAAGCAGGTAATACATTTGATGTAATTTATTATTAAATGCGTTGAGTTATTATTAAAACCGTCGAGTTAGTGTTGTTCAGTTAGTTTATAATGCAGATAAAATTGACTTCAAATCATATGATTACAAAGAAGCTGCGACAATCGTATTTTTATATACTAAAATGTTTATTCTATACTATATGCTACTGGCCCAAATATATTCTCCAACACACATTTGTATTGTTCTCAATACATGTACATGCATCATGCCAGTTTTCGGACTATAATTAATAATCGGGTTGTCTTGACAATTTTTATTATTTTGATTCACTAATATATTTGTATAAATAATAAGACATTTATTTGTAATGGTTACGGAGAGAGAGGTTATAATTTGATTTGATACATTTTATTGAACTAATGTTGACATAACGCTTACATCTGATAGAACCATGTTGAGAGTTGGCAAATTACTTTTTTTCTAGTTTAATCAAAGCACGTTTGTACATTTTCTGTCACAGACATCACGCAAAGCGCGAATGAATTTAGCGTAAACAATGTATTTACACGCAATATACACGAGGCATGGGACCTATATCGAATACATCGAGTCATTATTGTCACCCAATAATAACATGTATGGATAGAATAATATTGGTACCTACATAAACTCGCTGGTGTTCTGCTATCAGCGTATTATTGTTGGCATTCTGTAATACAATATATTAGGAGAAATCACATACTACTCATTGACAACAGCCCTAAAATGTCCGTAACACATAAATATAATCATTGAAGCTTTGCCTTAGAATTATTAGTGGCAGTAGACAAAGGTGTAAATATCTTTTTATTGTGTTTCAAGATTAACTACATACGTATATGTATATATGCTGATCTCAAATCAACATGTATTGATTAATAATAATACAATTTCGATCGTATCACGGTATTGATTTTCAAAACACTTGAGTATTTATTTACGAAAAAATTGCGTCGTGAATTTTTCGAGCAAAATATCCGTATAGTAATATTCGACAAAAATAATGAGCTTGGCTTAAATTATATATGTTACATAACTATCTCCCCAAGTAACGTGACGACATAGTATGTCGTGAAAAGTCTATACTTGTTTCATCATCCTATTCAGTGTTTGAATCTCGGATGCATATCATCTTTGGATGTTAAGTGATTTGATCATTGTTACCATGACAATGCCGACTGACTGTGAGATGCTGGTAAGCGAAACCTTGTGACAAAAATATCTCGGTATGTGTCTTAGAAAGTCAATTTGACGATGGAAAACATTTGTTCATGTTAATATATTTCAATATTAATTCAGTAAATTGGATTAACTTAATGTATATGTATTTAAAACATTATATGAGAATGTGACACCCAGCTATCAACCAACTGTACAGACTCAATGAAGCTGCAACAAAATCCGATGACCCTACGTCTTGTTAACAGTACATGATACTACCATATACTTACAATTCCGACAATTTGTAGCAAGTTCAGTGAAACAGTAGCCTCCACTGCTGGCCCGCCGATGTCAGGACGCAATCGCCGGTCATAGTTTTTCAAGAGCTGGTTCTTCAATGAAATGTAATTGTCGGCGTCATCGTTCGGCGATATTTGACCAGCGACTGTTAAAAATTAACACCAAGATTACATACATATATGTTCAATATATGAACAAAATGGTTATCATACACTGTACACACTGACGCTACCTACGTTACGGGATTTGAACCCGCACTACATTTTTACACAATATAAGTTGCACCCTTTCCGCCTGTACACCATATTTAAAACCCGTTTTTCAGATCCGCATACTAAGTTTGACATAACATGGGTCTAGCCATTTTAAAGTGCGCGTTTCAGTTCATTTCCGTCCTCGTACACACTGTGGGACGAGTTATTCACTCAAGTTTGTCGCCATATCCAAGCGTTTGGCAATTCAACAATACTAAAACATTTATAGTTATTGTAATACAAACACTACTAAATGATCAGACCAAATGCCTGAGGGATGTTTGTGATATTGCACCTTCGCCTGCCAAGGTTAGTTTGTTCAGCAGTCGCCTCAACATTACACCTTGGCGCAATACCAGAGATATTTTCTTCAATGCATTGTCTATCTGCATCACGGACAAAATTGTACAGTAAGGGATTGACCTGACATTTGACAGTCTGCTAAAAATCTAACTAATAAGATGCAATCAATCTATTAATTTGTTTTCCAAATTGGCACTATCCTCAGGGCGGATCTACGTCACAGAACGTTTTAGGTTTCTAAGACGCACACTACTGTACCCATTCTCCTTCGCAGAGACTATGGGCCTGCTATCACTAAGCTAGGTAGTCAACAGGGAACGCCCCACTCGTTGCAGCTCTCCGTGGCTCCCTAGGCCAGGTCATAAGCTCGACGACTCTGCAAGGAAGAGTGCACTTTACTATGAAGTGTATTTCTATGGGCTCTAGGCGAGCTGCTGTGGAAAGCCAGTCGAAGAGCCGGTGAAAACAACTAAGATCGAGGAAACACACAAACTCAACTTTGAAGTAATCCTGAAGAAACGAATGTATATATGTTGCACATGTAGGTGTAATCTTGTTACACTATTAGAGTCCCAACCGTGATGGTTGCCAAGGCGGTAAAAATACCGGATGTCCGCCCGAGGATATTACACTAAAGAAATACAGTATTGTGCACGGACCGGCCCATGCCTGAGGCGCAGGTCCCATTCTGTACGTCGAAAGAGCGGAAGCATGGAACTTACCGCGGTACGTATGCATAGTAACCGGGTTCAGTGATAATCGCCACAAATAAACCAACTGTAGTTTGTGTTCAGTGCACATGGGCGGATACAGGATTTTGTCATGGGGGGGGGGGCAAACTTTAAAATCGCCAACTAAGTTAATGATTTTTTGATATTACAGGAAAAAAAATTGAGTAAATTTTTCAACGGGGGGGGGGGTCCGGACCCCAACAAGAACCCCCCCATAGATCCGTCACTGGTGCAGGTCACATACCGAAGACAATCATGGCAAGTTGGAACTGTGAAAGGCTGCTAAAAGCTACATTTTGTTTATGACCACATGCTACGCCAAATCCGATTGGACGCATGGTTTAGGGCCGCCTCCAATCAGATCTATGCATTTTACCGGTGCAACTTCTCGGTAGAATACGGATGATGGTGAAATATGGAATACCGTGATATCGACTAGTGACTGAATTCGTTGACGAGTATCAAAGAC